ATGGGGAGGAAAAAAGGGGGAAGAAAATCCTTCCCCATCCCAGATCCTGCATCACACGGGGCAGATGATCAAAGAAAAAAAAATACATTTATGTTAAAAAAAAGAAAAAAAAATACATTTAAAGAAAATTACACGTTAATACATTTAGAGAAAAATACATATATGTTAAAAAAAAGAAAAAAATACATTTAAAGAAAATTACACATTTAAAGAAAAATACCTTTCTGTTTTAAATAATGAAATGATTACACAACACATTTATTAAAGGACCTCATTCCTGGACAAACCCAAAGTTCGGGCTTGGCCCCAGGACCCATCTGGACACAGACCCCGGAGTCCTCCCAGCCCCAACACCTGCAGCAGCCAGGCAGAGATTGGCAGCTTTAAATCTGAATTTCCTTGCTTTGGGCACTTTTCAATTAAAGTGGTAATGTGCTTTAAATCCCGTTTCCCTGGTTTTCCACTCCACTCCTCAACCCTTTCCTGCAGAAACTAATCAAGATGTCTCAGGCTCACACTCCCTGCTCCAGCCACCTTCCCTGCTAACTCATTCCATATGCCTGGGATCCTTTGCTCCACTTTCATTCCCTCTTTATTCCCACTTTTCCATCGTGCTGGTACCCCAAGTTCCTCCAACTCCTCCGTGCATCCCCAGCAGGGATAATTCTATTATTATATATTATTATATTCTATATGATTCTATCCCAGCAGGGATAATTATTCCCTGGAAGTGTCCAAGGTTGGATCACCTGTGACAGTGGAAGGTGTTGGGGTTGGAACTGGATGAGTTTTAAGATCCTTTCCAAGCCAAACCGTTCCAGGATAATATTATAATATTCCTAAAACTATATACCTAATATTATAATAACATTATAATAAAATTATAATAAAATTATAATATACAGAACATCATCAGGTGGGCACAGGTGACCCGGGTGTGGCTCATGGACACATCCCAGCAGTGCTGAGAGATCCAGGAAAATCCTGATGGATCCCAACCGAGCACCCCGGGCTGCAGCCTGAGCTCCCACCCCCCAGCTCAGCCAGGGAATGCAGGAAAATCCCAGGGCAGGAATATCAGGAGAATCCCCCAGCACTGCCATCCTCGATGAACCTGCTGCCCCAAACCTCCCCCAAAACCCCCCCTGAGATCCCATTCCCGTGCTCCCATCCCTGTCCCTGTGTTCCTGCAGCTCCCAGGTGTGCTCAGGTGTTGGTGACAGCCAAATTCTCACATTTCTCAGCTCCCACGGCTCCCCCCCAGCCCCTGCACTGCTGGAGAAACACAAACTCGATTTTATGGCTTTGAGGGCACAGGGAGCTCCTCCAGGATGCTGTTGGCAATTCAGCAGCTCCAATCCATCCGTGGGCAGGAATTTGGGCTCCCCCAGCACGGCTGGCTCTCACCTGCAGCAGGGAATTCCCCAGAATATCTGGACTCCAGAAAGTTCTCATCTACTCCCAGGCCTTGCAGGAAAAGCCAGGACTAACCTTTGCTGAACGGGGTTTTAGCCATGGAGAGCTCCTGAGCAAGGCTGCTGCCCGAAAAAAAAAAAAAAAAAACCAAAAAAACCAAAAGAACCCAAAAATGAAGGAGAAATTCTTGTCCCTGGCAGGGAAAGGCTGGGCTTGGCAGCTCAGGATGGGGGTTCAGTCAGGAGCTCCCCCAAAATCTCCAGGCAGAGCTGGCACCAATGGGGCTGGGCTTTGGGAATCCCCAAGATTCAGGCCCATGGAAGCACAGCTCCAAGCAATCCCTTTTTTTTTTTTTTTGGGAATCGGGGGTTATTAAATTCTGCACTTTGGGCAAAGTGCCAGGAGCCCCCTCGGGACCCCCAGCCTGCAGTGAGGGGCTCAGACACCCCCCCAAAACCAGCCCTGGCTGCTGGATCAAACATTGCTGAGCTCTCCGAGCCTTGTCCCCCTCTCCAGTAAACGCCAGAGTCCCCAGGCAGCTGCAGGTGACACAAGGGCTCAACAGGACCCTGCTGGCACTGGGGCTGCTCCTCCTGGGAAATCCCTGTGGCTTCACTGAATTTTCCAGGCTGGAAGAGACCTCCAGGGCCATCCCAAAGGCGACTTTTCACCACCTCCCTCACCTCATCCCAACGCTGACCCTTGGCCGAGAGAAAAAAAAGAAAAAAACTTTAATCTTTAATGTGACCCTCGTGGTGCGAGTTGAGGCTCTGTCCTCTCACCCTTCACCTGAGGGGTGGCAGAAATCTCAGCACACACCTTGACCCCCCCCCACCCCGCGACTCTGACGGGGTCACGAACCCGCACTTGGCATTTCCCAAACCTCGGGAACGCCGGGGGACAGCGGGTGACAAACAAAGCCCCGCCAAGGAGCGTCTGCATCCCTCGCTGCTGCCTCGCACAAAGAGCCCTTCTCTCTCTCCTGCCTTCCTGGGAAGCATCCCTCTTTACATCCCGCTCTAATGGCTCATTAGGAACATCAAACATATAGATTGAATCGCGTAATTATGCCTTTTAAAAAGGCAGCAATATTTGAGCTCAGCCCAGCGCTGGCTGCCAATCAAACGGCAGGCTGAGCTGCTGGCAGCAGGGATTATCCCCCTTCTCTCCTGCTCTGTGTCACCCCCTAAGCCAGCCCAGACAGCTCCTGTGCACAATCCAACAAGGTCTGGAGGTGATTTTTTGGGGAGCCAGGGAACAGCAGAGCTCCCTAATCATGGAGTGTTGGGTGTTGGAAGGGATCTTAGAGATGATTCTCGTTCCAATCTTTCCTCCAAACCGGGCCAGCTTTGCTCAGTGCAGAGTCCCAGCTTGCCAGAGCTCCCCAAAAGATCCCAAATATGAGACGGTGAATGGGAGGGGAAAGGGGCTGACCATGAAATCAGGAAGGGACCACGGAAAACAGGGATGAGAACCTGGAGAGGAGGCAGCACCTCGCCCACCATTTCCAAAAAGAATTTTTTTTTTAAAACATTTCCAAAACGCTCCCTGACAGCCAGCACAAGGTGAGGAAAGCCCAGCTGCCCCCAGGGAATGCTGTGCTTGCTTGGAGGATTTCCCAAGGAAAGCCTCACCTCAACCAGCCCGAAGAATGCTGGGAGAATCCCTGGAGAAAAGCAAATTTCCTGCAGAAAACCCTTGGGGGAAAAAAAAAACCAAAAAAACCCCGGTGCACGTGCTGAGCTCCTGGGCAGCACAGGAGGAAACCAAAGATGCTCTGGGAGCAGGTGCACCCACATTCCAGGAGATCCTTGCCCTTCCCAATGCCTGCCAGCATCGTCCCCCTCACCCAGGAGAAATCCTACACGACTCTGGCCCCAAAACATTAAAGATCCCATCAATCACTCCCTGCTGGGGGTCCCCATTTCATGACCTTTCCATGTTTTCCTCTCCTGTGGCTGTCAGTGATATTTCAGAGTCCCAGGCACATCCCAAAAAAATCAGGAGTCATTGCTCTCGTGGTGAAGCAGAGATAATGGGAACAGAGATGTTTGGGAGGCACACTTTTCCTTCACACCCAGCCTGCCCCAGCATTCAGAATTTATGAGACACATCAGCAGCAAAAAAAAAGCTCGGGCAGATCCCAGTTTAGAAGGAAAGCAGGATGCAAATTGGTGATCAGATCAATTTTTCAGGAAATCAGGGAGGTTTTGCTACACTTGGTGTCAATTCCCTCCACAATCCACAGAATCCTGAGATCCCTGAGGCTGGAAAAGATCTCCAAGATCATCAATCCCCACGTTGTCAACCTGTATTAATGGTGGGAGTTTGCACCACTTAATTAGTGGTGTGTTTTAGTCTCTTCTGCCTTCACTCAGAGCCAGGATTAAAAAAAATCCATGAAGGAAATGGATTTTCTCGTGTTTGGGGCTTGGTTGTTTATTAAATCTTATCAAAAAATACAGAAAGTTCAGCACTTCCATCTACCTGCCAGAAGTGAGGAAACTGGAGACAGATCCAGCTGCTACAAGGTCTCTTAAAGATGAACAGTCCAATAAAAAATTAACACTTGTATTATTTATACTTTTGACCCAATAACCAAATTCCTGTCACCCTCAGTGTGACACTGACTGACCAACCAGGACCTCCCTGAAACCACGGAGAAAATAAACACTGAGACACCACCCCAAATCCTCTATCTTGTCCCATACCCATTACTACATTGTAAAAACCCCAAATTCCCAACCCTTCACCGTGGGAAATCACACACTTGTGTTTAATTACAGATTTTAACTTCATCATTCAGATTTAAAAGCCTTCTCCAAGGCCTCAGCTCAGAGGCAGTGTTCTCCAAGAAGTCAGTGCCAGAAAGCACAAAAAAATCAAAAATCCCAGGTTCCTGGGATCCAACCAGAGCAGGGCCTTGAGTGCCTGAATCCCTAAATCCAAAGAAGCATCAGGATCCTGGGATTCAGCCTGCATCCCTCCCTCTGCTGACTTTTGCTTCAGATCCCGTTGGTGAAAAATGTGCCCCAAATTAAAACTTTCACCCTGAGATCCCTGAAAAAAATTCCCAGCCACAATTCCCCAAAAAAAAACCTTGAGTCAGCTTTAAAGTTTTGGGATGTTCTGGAAGGTCCAAGCAGGTGGAGCTGATGGGAGGAGGCTCCTGGTTTTAACAATTCCTGAGGGATTTCCCTTACAAGCTGCTTGGGAATTCCCTCTGGCCCCGGGACAGTTCTGCAGCAATTCAGTGAGAGTGACAGCTCAGAAAAATGAAAATAAAGGAGAAGAAATCTAGGAAAAGCTGGGAATTCTTCTGGAAAAACCACAATGCCCAACTTCCCTTTAATAATTCCTATGGAAGAGCCCCTCCAGCACATCCCCAGGGATCATTCCCTGCTGCTTTCCCCTCCTCAAAAACCAAACCAGGAGCGAGCTGAGAGATCCCGAGGAGCAGAGCAGGAAACTTTTCCAGGAAAAAAAAAAAAAAAAACAACTCCCAAACCAACTCTGGATTGGGGGAAATTCCCAGCTGGGATGGGACATTCCTGCAAGAATCCAAAGGAGAATTTCCCACTCACCGCTCCGAGCATGATCCTGAAAATGAGCCAGCGGAAACTCCAGATGACAATTCTGGAAGGAGGAGAGCCCTGGGGCAGGCGGGACAGGCTCCAGAGGGGGCACAGGAATATTCCCAGGAATCCTGTCTCCAGGAGCTGGGATTCCCACCCTGCAGGACCAACAAGAAGTGAAGAAGGAAATCATTATGGTGCTGGAAGTTAGCCCAGAATTAAGTTTAAATGGGATGATTATTAAAAAAAAAAAAAAACCAACACCTTGAATGCTTTTGAAGGTTGATTTAGGGGAAATCAGGCAGCAGCTGCCCTAAAACAGACATCTGACACAGGGGGGATTCAGGGGTTTGAGGATTTGGGGTCACAAACTGCATAAAAGGGGGGATTTTGTAAAAAGTAGTAACTTCTATGAAGCAGAAAAAAAAAAGAGATTTAAGTGGCATGGGACAACCAAGCAGTGCCACTGATTCCTCCAGTCATGGATGGATCCATGGAGTGGAGCAGTGCCAGCTGCTGGGACACAGCTCTGCCACCTCCCACTGATCTGCAGCTGAGCCAGCCCCAAGCTGGGTTTAACTGCAAGTGCAGCCAAGGATAAGCTCTGCTCACAGGCTGGGGCAGGAGTTTGGGCCCCAAAATTGGCTCAGTTTGGGGTTAAATCCTGCCCAGCTCTGGCTGCTCCCTGGTGGCGTGTGGGGCTGTGCCACAAGGTCCTGCTAAAACCAGGATTAGGGGTGGATAGGCTGGGACAGGCTTGGATTTATTCACAACCCCTTCCTGAGTGATGGAGTCTCCACAGCTGCCCATGTGGGATCAGTTTTTTGGGATACATCACCCACTGTGCTTCTTCCCAGTCTGCATCCATCCATGATCCATCCATGGATCCATCATCCATCCATGGATCCATCATCCATCCATGGATCCATCATCCATCATCCATCCATGGATCCATCATCCATCCATGGATCCATCATCCATCCATCATCCATCCATGGATCCATCAACCATCCATGATCCATCCATCATCCATCCATCCATCCATCCATCCATCCATCCATCCATCCATCCATCCATCCATCATCCATCATCCATCCATGGATCCATCATCCATCCATGATCCATCATCCATCATCCATCCATGATCCATCCATCCATCCATCCATCCATCCATCATCCATCCATCATCCATCATCCATCCATCATCTATCCATCCATCATCCATCATCCATCATCCATCATCCATCCATGATCCATCCATGATCCATCCATCCATCCATCATCCATCCATCCATCCATCCATCATCCATCCATCCATCATCCATCCATCCATCCATCCATCATCCATCCATCATCCATCCATCATCCATCCATCATCCATCCATCCATCATCCATCCATCATCCATCCCTCTCCTGCCCAAACCCTTCCTTCTCCCCAAACCCTTCTCCATCCAGCACAAACTCATCCTGCCCATCATTTGCCATTCCTACAAAAACATCAAGCCTCCATGAGCCCCAATCCCATTCCTCTTTCAGGCTCCAGCAAAGTGCTGCTGCCTCTGCTCCGTGCCCGCTGGAAGCGCTGGGCGTGGTGGGATTATCCCAGCTCCTCCTGTGCCGTGGTTCCTATACCAATTCCAGCTCCCCCAGGAAGATTGGAGGATGTGGACATGCTGAACACCAGCAGTGAATCCACAGCTCAGCACATGAGGAAGAGCTGGGCTCCAGCTCAGCCTGACTGGGCTGTAAGATGATACCAGGCCCAAGATTAGCAAATCCATCAGCAGAACCTCCCGTTCCTGCCCCCTGACTCACCCACAGTTGTTCACATCTGCCCTGAAAGCCTCAGACTCCAAATCCTTCGGATTCTCAGACAGGTCTGAGGCTGAGGTTTGGGTGCTGTGACCCCTGAGCACCACTCAGGCCTTCACAGAGCCCAGAGGGATCCGGGTGACACCCAAAGGGATCAGCCAGGACACCCCACCTGGCAGGGAGCCCTGAGGAGCAGCTGGTTCCTCCCTGACCCTCCCAGATCATCACCTCCAGAATTTCTCCAGGATTTCCCAAGGGTTCTTCCCTGACCCTTCCCAGCTCAGCAACTCCAGAATTTCTCCAGGATTCCTCCCTGACCCTTCCCAGCTCAGCAACTCCAGAATTTCTCTCCTGGTTTTCACCCTCCTCTTGCTGCCATCACAGGGGAGCTGTGAGGAAGGTGAGGAAAGTGAGGAAGGTGAGGAAGGTGAGGAAGGTGAGGAAGGTGATGATCCCATCCCAAACCCTCCTCCAACTGCAGCAATTCCCACCCCTGGCATTTTGTGGGGCAGCAAAGAACAGACATGAAGGAGTCATGCCCATGACCTGAGGGGACTCAGAGAAGAAACTGGGATCGAATCATGGAATGGTTTGGGCTGGAAGGGATCTCAGAGCCCATCCAGTGCCACCCCTGCCACCTTCTGCTGTCCCAGGGTGCTCCAGGCCCCGTCCAGCCTGGCCTGGGACGCTCCCAGGGATGGAGCAGCCACTCTGGGGCTGTGGGATGGGAGGGCAGATATTGTCCATGGAGACCACGGAGCATCCCAAACCCAACAAACAATCCTGGAACGAAGGGAGCAACGACCTCCTGCAGTCACATTCCCCAACCCCAGAGCTTTGGGGGAGTGAAACCCACCCTATAAACAGCAGCAAACGCCATCAGGGCTCTCTCCAAGACACCATTCCCACCCTACAAACCCCAACCAACCCATCCTTACACCCCAGCCTCCATGCCAGGGCTCGCTGATACTGCTGGGAACGAAAGGGTCACGTTGTTGACCCACCTGCTCCTGTTTTCCTCACTTGGATCTCGTCAAATTTCAGCAGCTGCAGGGCAGCACAAAGCCCCCCATTGTTATCTCTGGCACAGCCGGAGAGGGAGCCACGGGCTGG